GCACCCCCTAAACACGGTACTCTGCACGCCCCCCCTACCCGCACCCCCAGCCTCGGTATCCGCCACCCCTCTGTCCTCTTGCCCGTGCTCCCCTTGCACCCCAATAATCCCAACCACTGCACCTCAGCCCATGCAGTCCCCTGCACCCCTAACCGCAGTACCCTGCACCCCCCCGCGCTCCTAACTATGGTATCCTGCCCCCTCTTTCCCCACCTCCTTAACCACAGTACCCCTTCGCTCTGCCCACAGTACCCTGCACTCCCCACAACTCTAACCATGGTGTCCCTGCACCCCAACTGCAGCACCCCCTCACCTTCCTGCACCCCATGCATGGTACCCCTAAATCCCACCTGTGCCCCTTTGCACCCATAGCCAGGGTCCCTTCTCATAGTCTCTCTGTACCCCCTACTCCCGTACACCCCAGTGTTCCCCTTCACCCTTCATGCTGCACCCCAATGTGCGCCATAGCACTTCACACCCTTCTGCTTCTCTGGTCACCCAGCACCCTCCAAGCACCCAGTAGCATATGACTCTCCTGTACTCCTCCCAGCCCTTCTGTCCTCTCTAAGCCCTTCACCACCCCTATTCCCTGCACCCCCCCCCCCCTTCCTTGCTCCTCTCCCTCACCCCCTAAGCAGGCAGTGTCCCCCCCTTTTCTTACCTGCACCCCCTTACACCAGCATCCTGCCTTCCCTGCCTGCTCTCACCCAGCAACCCCCCAAACCTCTAACCACTGGCTAACCCAAACAACCATGTGCCCCTGCCTTGTATAGCCTTCTTCACCCCATAACCCCCTGCCTCACTTTGTTGCCCCCCCTTTCCTCCCTGCTAGCCCTCTATGCCCCAGCTAGCCCTTCCCTGGATCTCATCCCACCACAGATTGCCATGACAATGTGTCTGGGGCAGGAACATGGACTTTGGGGAGAGAATGAAAGGAGGGTGTGAGGGGCACACCTCATCCTGCCCCTGTACTTGAGTGGGGGGACTTCTCCTGTGATGGCAGGATCTCAGGACTTGCACTGGGGAGACCTTTGCCCCATCCTACTTCGGTTTCTGTGACGACCGAGCTTGCTGGCGGACTTTGGAGGGCCAGTGGGTGATTAACCATCTTGCTGCTCTTCCCCCAGATCTTTGCAACCCTGGTCCTTGACATGGCACCTGGGAAGCCTGGCAAGAGCACGGGGACCTCGGAGGACCCTTCGGTTACACTTTTCCGGGAGTACCTGAGGATTGACACGGTCCACCCGAAACCTGACTATGGTGAGGATGGGGGGACAGGACAGGGAGCTGTGTGGGGGTTCAGCAACGTGGCTTTGCGGCTCTGATCTTTGGACCCCGGTGCCTGAGCCCTGTGCCAGGGCTTTTTTGATGGTGGTGTTAAGGAGCAAACACCTTTGTGCCTTATCTCTGCTGGTGCCTTCGGTTGGGGCAGGGACGTCTTGAGTGCACCCAGAGCTGCCATTTCCTCCTGGTCCCTCCTTTTCCATGCTGCCCTGGCTCTGGGACAGATGCTGTGTAGATCTCCCTCCCTTAACATTTCCATCCTCCCATCGAGATTTTTTTTATTGGTGAGGAGCTCCCAAGACTCCCACAGAGGACTGTCCCCATCGAACTCGCTCCCTTACGTTTTTTTGTTTTTCATGTTCTTGCCCCAAACAGACATTGACAAGCTCATGTCCCTTCTCCTGGCCACCTCTTGTTCCAGGACCTCCATCACCTGCCCTCTATGGTTACCTCTTTTCTTGAGCAGGGAGCCCCAGAGAGCCTTGGAGTCCCCAGGGGATGTATGGTGAGACAGGAGGGAAAGCATAACGTAATTCCAAGCAAATCTGCTTCTCCCTAGATGCAGCCATCCAGTTTCTGGAGCACACTGGCACTGAACTGGGCTTGGCCTGCCAGAAAGTGGAGGTAAGTGAGGCAAGGAGAAGCCCCTGATCTGTCCGTCCAACCATCCATCCGCATCCAGATCCTTAGTGACTGGGCTGTTCCCTGCCTGCTGCCCCCAAGATGTGCAGGAGTGAATCCCCTCTGCCTGTAATCCTCTGCTGACCTGAGCCCTTCCTTAAGCTTATACTTGGGCTGGTCCCTGCTGACCTTTGCAGCTGCCTGTGCTATGATTAGCCAGCAGCAGCCTGGCAGGATCATGTTAGCTGGGGACATCTCTGCTGCTGAGCACTGGCTGTACCAGGGGACTCCCAGGCACCAAGGGGTTAGACACTGGGTTAGTCTCCCCTCCTCTGTCTAAACTGCAGCCAGGAGCTCGTGCCCACGGCTGGGTTCTGTCTGGCTGCAGGCACACCTGCCCCATCCTCTCCCAGTGGAGAAAGGGGTCACCTGCCAAGTGGCATCAAAAAACAATTCACAAGGTGATGCTTTTTGGCCCAGCCTGTGGGTCCCAGCCCCTCTGTCCCCAGCTGGGACCCTGGTGACATCCTGCCCTCATCCTACAGGTGTGCCAGGGCCGTGTGGTGCTGATCCTGACCTGGCAGGGCACGAACCCTCGCCTGCGCTCCATCCTGCTCAACTCCCACACTGACGTCGTGCCTGTCTTCGAGGTGCTGGGACAGGGCGAGGGGTGGGATGGGCATGGCAGGGAGGACTGGGAGTGGCAGGGGAAGGGGAGCTGGTGCCTGCCGTGCCCCTCTGCCATCACAGCTGCTCTTCCCCACAGGAGCACTGGACCTACCCACCCTTTGAGGCTGTTAAGGACTCACAAGGCAACATCTATGCTCGGGGTGCCCAGGACATGAAATGTGTCTCCATCCAGTGAGTGAAGGGCTCAGCACTTGCTGGGAGAGTGGGCATGGCATGAGGGTACCTCTGAGTGAGGCAGGATGGGATGCCAACAACCCCAGGGTCCCTGGGGCTGTAAGTCTCACAATTTGACCCCCCTGGGGTGTCTCAGGGCCCACCATCCCCTTTCCTCTCTGATGCCCAGGCACTGCCTTCTCCCCGCAGGTACCTCGAGGCTGTCCGGAGGCTGAAAACAGAGGGAAAGTGTTTTGCTCGCACCATCCACCTCACTTTTGTGCCTGGTGAGTCCCCAGAATGTCCCCTCTCGGGGGGACAGGAGGGCCTGGCATCTGGGTGATGCTCTGGAGGTCCCTGCAGTGTGGCAGCAGGACACCCCTCTGCCAGCCTCTCTGGATTTTGAACTCCCTTAGATTGGGGTTGGAGGAGTTTCCAGGTCTGAGGACACCAAGTGTGCTGGTGGCACCTAGGCAGGCACGGAAGGAGGACTGGGGGTGTGGTGAGCTGGAGGATGCCCCTCTTCCTTTTTCCATGCCAGACTCTCCCTGCAGATGAGGAAGTGGGCGGACACAAGGGCATGGAGATGTTCGTGCAGCGCCCCGAGTTCAAAGCTCTCAACGTGGGCTTTGCCCTGGACGAGGGTGAGTGGTGGCAGGGCTGGCACAGAGACATGTCTCCTCTTGGCACACAACCCTCTGCCTGTTGGCATCACCCCCTGGGCACCAGCACTTGGCAGGACTTCTGGAGACTCCCTTTAGGGCATCCTTCCCCTGAGCAGTGACCCACATGGTGCCAGCCTGGACAGGAAATGGTACCAGGGCAGAGCATAGGGGGACACATTGTGGCAGACCCATGGCCTTCTGACCCCTTGTCTGTGCCCACTGCAGGCCTGGCCAGCCCATCTGACACTTTCAGTGTCTTCTATGGCGAGAGAAGCCCATGGTGTGAGTAACTGCATGTCCACTGCCCCATCCCTGGCTGTGCCAGGCACTGCAGCATCAGTGCCACTCTGAGGGTTTCTGCTCAACACCCCCCTGTCCCCTCACTGCTGCAGGGATCAAGGTGAAGTGCGTGGGCAGCCCTGGGCATGGGTCCCGCTTCATCAGCAACACGGCGGCTGAGAAGATGGTAAGAGAGGGGGTACACCCTGTGCACCCCCCTGCCAGCCCTAGGCCTGTCAGATGCTCCCCCAGGGCTGGCCCTCACCCCCCTGCCCTTCCCTCCCCAGCATAAAGTCATCAACTCCTTCCTGGCCTTCAGGGAGAGCGAGAAGGAGAGGTAGGAGACAGGCAGCGGGACTGTGCTGGCTTCAGTTTGGTCCATGGAGGGAGTCCTTGGGATTCCAAGCCAAACTCTGATCCAGTGCCACTGCCCCGTGCCTCAGTTTCCCCTTTTTGGGGTGGCAGTGGTGTGGGGGAGTGCTTCCCCTCCTCCCTGGGTGGTGGGGGGTGACTCTCTCTCGTGTTCCCTGAGGCTCAAGTCCGATTCAAGCCTGACCCTAGGGGACGTCACCTCCCTCAACCTGACCATGCTGGAGGGAGGTGTCTCCTTCAATGTGGTGCCCTCTGAGATGGCGGCTGGCTTTGACATCCGCATCCCACCCACTGTGGACCTGAAGGTGGGCATCGTGCTGCCCCCCTGCACCCCCCCAGGATGGGAGCAGGTTGGGGGGTACCCTGCTCACACCCCTCCTCTGGTCTCTGCCTCAGGCCTTTGAGAAGCAGGTGGCCACGTGGTGTCAGGATGCTGGCGACGGTGTCACCTATGAGTTTCACCAGGTGAGGGGTTTCAGCCACCTGGGTGCATTGTGCCCATCCCTCCCCTGCCACACGCCCACCCGTGCCCCTCACATGCCCTCTCCCTCCATCAGAAATGCATGGACCAACACGTCACCTCCACCGAGGAGTCAGACCCATGGTGGAAAGCCTTCAGTGGGGTCTGCAGGGACATGTGAGTAGTGTCCCCAGGAAGAGCAGGACCCTGGTTGGGGATCCCTGGGGGTCTCTGGAGTCATGGCAGGGGTTGGCAGAAGATGCTCCATGCCATGTCAGGGCACCTTCCCAAAAGGGACAGGATTGAGAGTCCTACAGGGCTCGGAGACCTTCCTGGCATAGGGTGGCAGGGAGACAGGGGACCTGGCTGCCCCCAATGCCTGTGCTTGACACAGGGTCTTGTTTGTTAGGAAGCTGCAGTTCAAGCTCGAGATCTTCCCTGCTGCCACCGACAGCCGCTACATCCGTGCGGTGAGTGCAGTGCCAGCCCGGCTTGGG